ATACCTGGTCTGCTCCAATCCTTTTTTCCACAGGAACTGGGTCATAACGTATGGGTGTCTTTAACTTACAACACAAAGGTCTCCTAACATGCTAGATTTAGGGATTAATGCCCAAGGTTCAGCTACTCTTCAAGCAAGTCTTCAGCTTTGTCAAATTCTTGATTAATCTGTTTATCCCATTTCTCACTGGCAAGCAGAGTTAGGTCTAGCTTTGGTGACGAGCAACCGCCAGCTTAGAAATGTTGGTGGGTGCGATGAGGTAGCTTGCAGCAGAAGCATGGTGATAAGCACCACATTGAGCATGTGAAACTGCTACTATTTGACCATTCCTATGGTCAAATTAATAATTACTTTAGCTCCGGAGAAAGTGAAGCTAGGTGTCAGCAAACATTTGTTGAGACTCTGCTCTGAGTGAGCATAGTGGTGGGGGGACTGTCAGGGAGCCGTCGGTGGAGAATGCAGTGTTCTTCTTCTCAAGGAAACTGTAGTCTGGGGAGAGAGAGAGAGAGAGAGAGAGAGAGAGAGACAGAGACAGAGACAGAGACAGAGACAGAGACAGAGACACAGAGAGAAAGAGAGACAGAGACAGACAGAGAGAGGGAGAGAGAGAGACAGAGAGACAGAGACACACAGAGAGAGACACAGAGAGACAGAGAGAAAGAGAGACAGAGACAGACAGAGAGAGGGAGAGAGAGAGACAGAGAGAGAGACAGAGAGACAGAGAGACAGAGACACACAGAGAGAGACACAGAGAGACAGAGAGAAAGAGAGACAGAGACAGACAGAGAGAGGGAGAGAGAGGGACAGAGACAGACAGAGAGAGAGAGAGGGACAGAGACAGACAGAGAGAGAGGGGGGGAGAAAGAGAGAGAACACTTCCTAAGAAACAGAATTGAGCTCACTCCATATGCTGACGTGAGGATTATGTATTTTTATTTTAAAAAGATTTCCTCTCTGCAGAGGATACAGTAGTGTCAAACTCTAAGAATCCTGTTATCACTCTTCACAGAACCCTCCCCATTTGCATTTTCTTCTTTGAACCCTTTCAGAACTGCTCCTCTGCAATCCAGTCAAAAATCAAGATGAATTCTGACCTTAATGCGCCTTTTTGTCCATCCCTGTGACAGTTCACTCCGGCTGCATGAGAACTTCCTTTTAGTCCGAGGAAGAATCAACTTGTGTTGACTCAAATCCCAGTTCACGGCAGGCAGAGGAGAAGGGTGCCGTAGCCCTCAGTAGAGATCAGTGCATGGCTTCAGTCTGCACAAGTGGGTTCCTTAGTCCTCTGGGATGGACCTACATGCTTCTTCTGCCCGCGTTTCTGGATTTATTGATCTAGACATTGTACAGCAATCCACAGTCATGGCTAATATTAAAGGAGGCTAAATGGGGACATATTCTCACCCATTTGCCGCATAATATATTCTTAGAAGCGTGTTCAGTTTGCCTAAGTCGTGTGAAAACAGCAGCACCCAGCAAGAGAGCCGTGTGACTGACTTCCCCGAGTGGGCACTGGGCAGTCTTTCTGAGGACGGATTGCTGGGACTTGCTAAAACTTTTTCCAGGAAGAGACTCTTCACCACATTAAGTAAACAGTGCGTTCTTCCTTCCTTATTTATTTTAGCTGCGATGTATTCTGGCCCCATTTTACTCTTGAATTAAAAAAAAAATCACCTTTCTGTGGAATAATTTGTTATCCTGCCAAACTTATCCATCCAAATCGGAAACCTAGAGATGTTTTAGTGGTGCTATAGGACGAGTGCTCTGATTACCGATGAAGGGCTAGGAGAGCAAGAAGGAGAGAGGTTCAGGCCATGAACACCAGCACACAGTCCTGATGCTTCACTCGGCAAGCAAGGGACATGTTTTTCTTCTAGAAAAACATAAATGCAGCAGCCCGTGGCATTCAAACGGTGGCATGTGGCTGAGGTACTCTCCTAGGGCAACCCAAGCCTCCCTGCCCAAATGACCCTTTCTGAGGGGCCATTCCGGCTGCTAAAGGAACTCAGGCCACTTTAGCGTGAATGCTTTGTGATTGGCAGCAGCGCCGGCCATTGTAAGTATCATATTGTTTGGTGGCGGGGAATATTTTTTATTGCTAGTTCAATAGCATTTCACAGTTATTAAACCAGAGTCATTGTCCCTGGCGGCTCTCAAATGCTCAGAAACTTTAGGGCATAGAAGGAAAAAAAAAAAATCCAAAGGCACAAAAGCTGTCAGCTGTTTTCGTAGTTCCAATGTGGCTGTCACACTCTTCGCTCTTAAGGCATTGGAGAAGAGATGTTGAGAAAGTGGTTTTCCAAAAGCGTTTATGGGCAACTTGTTTTCATAAATAGGAATTTACGGGAGTAGATTCAATTACAAAAGTTATTTTAGAATGGTTAAAAAATGGAAACATTTAAAGAATGGGACACCTATACTATGATGATTAGACATTAAAGCACTTAGATTAAAATAATGTTCCCACAACGAGCAGATATGGCTGAATGTCCCGTAACCCTGAAGATAAATGCCTGCCTGAAGTCATTGCTCGGCTCCGTGTAGAATGCTCCGAGGAGATGAATGGCCGTGATTAGTGAGGGAACACATCTATTTCTCTGCAAGGGAGAGTGCTCTTGGCTTATTTAGCAGATAATGAAAGTATCCTGAAAGTGAGCTGGAGGGTGACCTTGGGCAGCTCAGGTGAGGGTGACTAGGCCAGACTTGCCCAAGAGGTAAGGCACCTCAGCAGGCGGGCCTCCCCTTCAAGGAAGCAAATCTGTACTCTGAAACGGAGCACAGGGCAGTGGCTCATTCTGTGGGGCTAATTGGGGACCCCATGAGTTCAGCAGCACAGCATTTTTTTTAATGGGTCACCCCCTGGTAGAAAACATTTGTGGTCTTTTGCAAGCACCAACTTTCTGGGAATTTGACTTAATTTTTGGTAATTTTTCCAGACAACGGAGAGCCAGTTCCTGGAGAATTTGCTCTCCTCAGCTCTTTGTGTATTTTCTGTATGGTTTTGCTTTGCTTCTTCTAGGCAGAGTTTGTGAGGCCCCAAGGACCACACCAGCACTCAAGTCAGGGGATGTACAATTAATCTTCCACTGAAAGAAAAATGTATTCTTATTTCTCTTCAAGTGTCTCTGGCGGTAACAGGGCGTGGGCAGAAACTTGTGTTTACCTAAACAAAAACAGAAGATGTATGACCTCTCTAAACATTCTTGTGGCTGGCTCTTCTCTGAGGATGCCCTTCCATGGCTGGGTGCCAAGATTCTTTTATTTTTCTAGAAGTAATTACAGCTTGAGAGGACTGTGCCCCGTGGCTGACATTGTGGTCGAGGAGATTATGGGTTTGTGCTAATTCTGTTTGGACATGATTTTCTACTTCTCTTTGTGGAAAGGAATCCCCCACCCCCAAATCCTTGACAACTGCCTCTAGCCATTTTCTCTGCCTGTCTCTCCCAACTCCCACCACCCTTCACTTCCCAAGGGAAGTTAGGGCTCCATCGTGGAGTCCTGGACAGTGAGATTCTCCCTATGCTAACTTTAGGGAATTATTTTTCTCCTGACCAAAGATTCCTCTCGTCCACTATACACATTTTTTATAGAGTTAGTCTACGTACCCTTAGTCCACAAATGGTCCACCCTTTGCCTCCAAACCTTCCTCCTCACTCAAAGGGAGTTTGACAAGCTTTGCCTTCTGTTTTAGCATTTAAAGCTGAACAGAGAGACCCACAAGGACGCTTCTAGGCAAAATCATTAGACGATTTTTTAATAAAGAATTTTTAGCCGGGCGGTGGTGGCGCACGCCTTTAATCCCAGCACTCGGGAGGCAGAGGCAGGCGGATTTCTGTGAGTTCGAGGCCAGCCTGGTCTACCAAGTGAGTTCCAGGAAAGGCGCAAAGCTACACAAAGAAACCCTGTCTCGAAAAACAACAACAACAACAACAACAACAACAAAAAAGAATTTTATGAGATAAATTGCCCTCATTAGCAATATAGCTTCAGTTTACCAATGTTTAATCTTACCTTTCTGTTATTTTTCGAGGAAGTGTACATGTATGTGTGTGTGTGTATGTGTGTGTGTTTGTGTATATATGTGTTTGTGTGTGTGTGTTTGTGTGTGTGTGTGTGTGTGTGTGTGTGTGTGTGTGTGTGTGTTTAGACTGGCTTATACAGTGCTGGATACTAGATAAACTGTCACAGAAAGGCAAAATCATTAAACAATGGAAACAAACCAGAAAACCGGAACAGAAATGACGACACTCCCTCACGGAGCACCCAACTGCCTTGATAGATAAATAGCTGTTTTGGTGATGCACCAGAGTGGAGTTTTCTCACACCTTGGCAGCACTGACAAGGAGGTGGCCTTCTGCTAGAAGCAGGTAGAAAACAGCAGTGAGCCTCAAGTAGGGATAGACTACTTGAGTATTGCTGGACACACTGGGTGCTCCCAGGAAACACTGGGTCCTGGTGAAGAAGCCCCATCTCCACGGACTGCGGGCCATTGTTAGCTCATTTCAGTAGCAGGCAGGGCTGCTTGGCTCTGGATCGGGCACTGCTTAGCAGTGAAGGGTTATGTGTAAGGGTGATCAGAGATTTAAACTGTCATGTCAACAGTGCCAGGGAATAGGCTGTGCAAGGGCCTTAATAAATCTGCCCTTGACTTATGGCCAAACCTCATTCAGCAGAAAATTATTTCTGCAGCATACTGAATGCTCTGCTCTGATGGAGACAGAAATAAAGAAAGGTGGAAATAGGGAGAGGAGGATGGAAATTCAATCCACATGCGGCGGGGAGGATTCCAGTAAATTGTTTTTTTTTTTTTTTTTGAAATAAGAAACAGAATGTGTAGGACTTTTGGAACAGCGTACATTCCTTTGATTACTAAAATGTCTTAGGGGACAAAGAATGATTCTCAAGGAAATCATCAGGGAAGGGAGGGAGGGAGGGACAGCCTGGCCTTAGCATGTTATAAATGCTCTTCATTTCTTCATTAAGTTGGTTGGGCTTTCTGGTGTGAGGGAGGTGCCATGGACCCCGGGATGAGCAAGCGTCCCCAGTGCTCACAGTGGGACACTTAGAGCCACAGGCTCATCCCACATGTGAAGTGTGTCATGCTTCGGCTCAGTGCAGATGAACTCTTGGATGCCGGAGACACGTGTTAGGAGAGCCGCTGGGAAGAGAAGGTGGGGGTGCGTGAGACTTCAGACACAGACAGCATCAGCACCTTCATCTTGGATTGTGATTTAGTGGAAGGAACCAGGGCTCTCGTTCACTGGGAAGTCGGACTGAAGCAGCAAACGTGGTCCCTGGTTTAGATGAGAAGTGGTTTATTTCCTTAGGACATTTTGGAAGGAGAAGAAGAAAGGGTTAAGACCAGTGCATTATCCATTTTTCAGATTGGTCCACAAAGGCAAAGGCGATCCTTTCCATCCCAGGCCAGGGGTCACTTTAATTGGAGAGATAATGTAGGAGACAGGGTTCTTTCTTTTTCTGGAAGTTTTGAAAACTGTCGGGGAAAGCTCCAGGAGCAAAGGACAAAACAAGAGCGTTTCCTCCCCTAAATAATTTATTTCCTGCTAGTAGTTTTTGCGTTTCTGCCCTGTACTTTCATTCCCAGAGCTGTAATGAGTTTCAGGAACATAAGGTGTCAGATATTGGCTCGTTGGTGGTGGTGCTGCTGCTGAGATCTCTGAATTCACGACCCCTCCGAGCATCCGAGGCATGGTGCATACATAATTTACGAAGACCTCCGCAGCTTTCATCTGCTCTTCCTTCTCACTTTTGGCTCTTTTTATTCAAAGGGGTGATTTGTTTTGCTGCAGTAGAACTTGCCGTATTTCCAGAAGTTTCCATCGAGGCCCAGCACCCTGCAGCAGACCCCTTGTGTCCAGGGGCATTTCTGCAGTGTCTTCAGTCCTGGGAGTTGGGGAAGACGGGGTAAGGGACAGAGGGGAGCAAGCCAGTTTTTTGTTGTTTTTGTTTGTTTGTTTTTTTTTTTTAGTGGTAGAGACGGTTGAAGGAATGACTCCGTGGGTGTGAGGACACATGCTTGTCCACTAAGGAGAGCGCCGCCTGGCGAGTGGGGAAAGGAAGTGGCCGTGTTAAAGCGGGCTCTGTGTTGATTTTGTTAGTCTCTCAAGGCTTCAGGGACCCCAGGAATTGTCCCAGGAAGGACATGGTTGCCAGTTCATGGAACCGCAGTCTCTCCACCATGCAGCTGCCCCCCGCCTTTGTCTTTTGGGGTTGGGTAGGAACACAAATCCAGGCTCTTCTCTGACTCATCTCTCTCTCTCTCTTACACATCCACATATAGCTTCCTGTTTATCTTTCATCTCTGTCTCTCCTTCTGAGAAAGGAACGTCGGCTTCTGAGTGGTCTGCTAAGAACTGGGGCTGCAGCCTACCTGGAGGGAGAAAAGCATTGAGGTTTCCGACCCGGATTGTCTACTGAGACCAACTCTGCTCGGGAAGCCTGCCTCCTATTGATCCACTCCTCTCCATGTCTTCAATATTTAATAATGCATTTTGCTATTTGGTGGAGTTTTCAGAAGCCCAAGCTGACATCTCTTTGTGTACAAATGTGCATATATTTAAGGATTAATCTAGTGATGCTTGCAGTCTCCTGCATGTACTGCCTTGGGACTCTTCAGGTAAGAAGACTGTGGGCAGCTGCTCTTCCGGAAGCACGGGGCAAATCTCTTTTAACGGAAAAATTACAGTAATGTCTGCTTACCCATTTATATCCTATTATCGGCTTAACTATACACAGAGATGTCATCCTAACAGGGCACCTTGTGACATGAATGAAGGGAACCCTGAATAAAAGACACCATTGATGTGGCCCTGGCTTCTGTCCCTTACATGGAGAACACACCTTTTGTCCTCTCCTTGTGGGGTAAAGCATATCCCTCCTCACCTCATTCTCACCAAGACTTTAAGTTCTTCGGCAACCTTCAACACAAATAAAAACAAGGACTTCCTTTTATTTCGGTGAGGGTCATTTGGCCATCTTAATTTTCATCTGTAAGCAAAGTTGGAGACATGGGCAAGTCTCATGAACAGTCTAACTGGTGCGATTGACTTTAATTCACAATGGATTAATGAGTTCGAGTTGTCTCTAGGTGCCCAGGTTTCTGCTTTCTTCCCAAGCCCAGCCTTGAAAGAATGGTGTTTGGCAGGGATGTCTCTTGCTCCCTTTAAGGGAGGCAGAGTCCATATGTCTGAGCCCCCTTTCCACTGGTAGCCCCTTCTTCTCCCTCTCACCCACACCAAATGTCTTTTCTTTACACTTGAATTCAGAGCGTTCGTGCTGGACAAAGGGCGGAAGAACTCAGAGGGAACAAATGCTCCCAGCTGAGGAGGTGAGGAGGCGTGAGAAGTCAAACCAGGAAGAAAAGCAGGGCTTGAGAAAGAAGAGGAGGAGTCCAGCGATCGTGGAGGAGGGCCGGTTTAGCAGAGCCCTTTCAAGGCCTGAGCTGACCAGAAACAAAAGGCACTTGACACATTTTAAAGAAAAATAAAATTAGTAAATTAAACCAGCCTGTTTATCGACCTCCAGTGAATGTCAGGGTTTTCTACCCTTGGTCTCACAAGCAAACTCAGCGATTGCCTTGGTTAAAACGATGAAGAAAAATGAAAAGAATGGGATGCAGTTAAGTTTCTCAGCTAAGGTAGACACGTAGCTAAAATCATTGCTGGAAAAGCATTTGATCAGGCTTTGAAATGTTGTGTGTAGTGACTGACTAGCTGCAGAAATGGGTATTTTGAAGGACCATCTGGAAAAGATAGAATTAAAATTAAAAACGGAGAGGGGCTGGAGAGACGGCTTAACAGTTAGCAGTGCTTGTGGCGCTTCCAGCGGAACCAACGTCACCCCACCATATTCCCATATCCGGCCGCGGCGGCGGCTCTCAATTGCCTGCAACTCCAGCTCCAGGGTATCTACTACCTTCTTCAGGACTCCAGGAGCTCTTCACCTGCCCTCTTCCCCCATTCTTAAAAAAAACCAAAATGTGTTTTCAGCAGACCAAAGGGAGGAGATGGTGTTAGTCTTTGCAGGGATGAGAGTACAGGAGTCTGAACGGTTTTTAATTTGCCAAGTTTTGAGCTGTGAGTTTTTCCTTGATGTGGTTTCCAGGAAGGATTACAGGTTAGCCTTTGTGAGAAGCACCGTTTTATTATAAAGTGAAAGGAGCAGCCTCCACCGGAGAACCCCAGTCCCGAATTTTGCTTCCGGCATCCATCTCCCATCTACTTAACTAGAGAAATAAAATTGGAGGGAATTTGGCCTTCAGGTTACGGGGCTGGAAAGTGCTTTGAGAGACCTTCTGGTTGGATTACTTCTAAACCCTCCCTGACAGATGAAAATTTATCTTATTTTTAAGTGTTCCCCTGAGGCAGAGTGTCCACAGACTCCCTACTAACTCATTCTAGTCTTTAACGATCTCCACATTGAGGAAATGCCTTCTCCTGTCTTACCTAAGCCCTCTCCGGCCAGCTTAGTCCATTGCTTTTGACCCTGTCCCAGAAGAGATGGGGAAAAAAGGTCACCTTCTTATATAAACATCCTCTCACATAATTAAAGATTACTTTTAAAAATCCCCAGGTTCTCCAGCTCCGCTTCCTTATCTCACGGAACCGCCCCCCGGAACTGCCCTGCTTCCTTAAACTTTCTTTCAGGGTTCTATCCCACAGCCTCCCAGTCACCTTTGTCGTGGTCTCAGTCATCTCTGCATCACCCAAGCAATGTGTGCTGGGAGGAGACAGAACTGACGTTATTTCCCCAGACTCTAAGTGCCAGAATTCATGAAAGAGGCAGAGTGATACTGATAATATATATTTTAAAATTTTAACGTATCCGTATTATAATGATTTTCAAAGTCAGATTTATTAATCCTAGGCTTGTGAGCATTCCCAGTGGTGTATGCGTGAACTCTTTAGGTTTTTAACAGGGGAAACGTATATAGTATGCCAAGACAATGTGCTAAGAATCACAATGATCCCTTGGTGTTCACTGGGGATTGGTTACCAGTCCCTTTCTCAGCTCTTAGTTATCCAAATCTTCACCTAGTCAATTTCTTTATAGAAATGATGCAGGCAGGTTTTTAATGTAAATTATACACTTCCTTCATATACTTTAATTCAGCACTAGATTCCTCATTAAACCTAATACAGCACGAATGGTATATAAATAATTGCTGTGCTGTATCGTTTAGGTACATGCGTTTCTAGATGGCTCTAGATGTGTCACAAACCAAAATCCCAACTCATGACTCTGGGAACATGAATGGCAGTAATGAAGGGAGGTTGCTAAGGATGGGAGGGAGATGAGAGAGGGCAGGGACAGTCTAATCAGAATATATTGTATGCTTGTATGAAAATGTCAATTAACATGCTAATAATAAGAAAATAAAGTCCTTAAAAAATTAATTAAAAAATTAAAGTCTGCATGTCTTTAGTATTGATACAATTAAAAAAACACTTTTGATTTGAGATTGGTTGAATCTACATAAGCAGAACATGTGGAGGGTGAGGCACTCAGCAGAGGGCGAGGTAAATTCCATACTCCCTAGTTAGATTAAATTCTGCCTTTCTCCACCTACGATCATTTCCGAGAACCGTCTCTTAGTTATACTTGGGTGTTATCTGTAGCTTTCCATGAACTCATTTCTAGTCCTTGGCTTGAACTACTGATGCTATAGTTGGAGGTGATGAGATGCTAGATCCTAAACTGATGTCAGGTATCACCTCTCTACCCACACTTCCAGGGCGGGGTAAAGAGCCTCAGTGTGCTTTCATAAGAATCAAAGCTCCTTTTTGATATAGTACTGCATCTTTTTGCTGTGGTTGTTTAATTTTGCATGAAATGAGCTCTTTATCCATTTGAGGAGTTTCCAAAGGTTTTAGATATTTGGGAACCAGAGACTCAGACACATGGCTTTATAAGTTGCATAAAAAAAAAACTATAAAAATGATTTTTACTAAATCTCAGATTTCCCAGAAGTTTTTCCAACCTGCCTGCAAAGGTGGTGAACGGGAAAAGTCAAGGTCCCTTGTGCAGCATGGGTGCCTCCTGCTTTTGTCCCAGCAACAGGACCCCAAAGAAAGGAGCACCGAGCACACAAGCCACGTGTCAACCTTCTGCCGAATGAGACAGCAAACCAGGGACAGTGAGCACTCTGTTAGGAGTGGCCAGTCAGAGTAGTTACAATATACCCATCTTTAGTCTTCTTCATTAAAGGTCACCTGCCGAGGGCTGGGCAGTACTGTATTATCAGGCTAACCCCAAAGAATAAAGACAAAACCCTCTGCTCCCGACAAGCTATGTAGTTTTGGCTTTATCATTCATCATCTCCAGCACTTATCAGAGTTAGGAAAGTTTTCTTTACAACAGGGATTAAAGATATGATTTGTAAGTTTTGCCTTTGACAATGTCCCTGATTTTGCGGCCCTTAAAATCAGTTCTTCATAAGGAGTACATGGTTATGTGGAAAAGGTCTCCTAGGTTATAACGTTCAGCGATAAGAAGGATATTAGAGATGTCTATGTGTTCTGTCTGAAGTCGGCATAGCCCCCCTCCCCTCATGGAGTTCATGAAAACGTGGTATTTGGGAAGTGGGATGACGGGAAATTCTTCTGTGTTTTACTTTTCTGCATTTTCTCACTTTTTGTGGCAGTCATGCATGACTTTTATAATAGAATGACACATATTCATTAAAAGAAGATTATTCCCTTCCATCTTTATAGTCTTTAAGCTTTCCTATAGTCTCTCATTAAGATACACCTGGGATGAATCAGTCCCTAAGCCATTATCAGCGAAGACTTGAAAGATAAACACCTGGGGAGGAGAGCCAAGATGGTGCCCGGAGGGGGAAGCTGGGGGCGGGAGACAAATCAAATGTCAGCCCAGAACATGTTCCCCCTCCTACATCACCGCCTTCAGCAGCTCCTGGCGTCGGTTGGGATCAGAGCAAAGACTGCATTAGGCTTTGTTCATTACACCCCACTTACAAGTCAGAAACTGAGCTCAGCCACATTAGAGGGTTGCTTTCAGAAGGGAACAGCGTGGGCAGGATTCAAACCCGGGTCAGTTACCTGGAGATCTCTGATGGGCTGCCTGCCCCGAGCTTCCACAGAAGCCCTCAGTGTCTGCCTGTAGAATCTCCAACGGTTCTGAGGAGGGCTGGGGACTGGCAGCCGTGTGTACCTTGAGTGCTTGAGTTAGAACTGATTTATAAGAAATGGCTCTGGGTCAGTTGTTAAAAATACCACTAAATGTTACTGTAATTTTGATGGATTGGTTAGAATGCTCTTTATTGGTTCATTAAGAAAATTAGAAAAAATATCTTCTTCAAACTACAATGCATGGTTTCAGTTTAGTAAATAATGCTATTTTGGATGGCAGTGAAAAATGTATTCGGGTCAAAAAGACTTTCCTCCAAGCAGAAGGTGTTGTTTGTGGGTGTGTACAAACATATACAAACACGCACCCGTGCAGACCTGTTCCAGAACGAGTTCAAGATTTGCTTCAAAGTGTCTTACTTTTTGCGACTTTAATTTAGTCCCTGCATCTCTAGGTCCTGCTTGACTGTGAGTTTAATCAAATCTTAGCACACATGGGAGGCATTGCTCTGCCTTTGTCCGTAGACTGACCCAGCCAGCCCTTGGCTGACTATATTCTTTACCAGCCAGAGACCTTAGACGTGATAGGCCACTGTGTGCAGGGGGTAAAGTCACAGGAGGTTGAGTGGGCTGGCTCTGTTTGCAAATATCCAGAGGTCACAAAGTGTGGGGTGGTTGGTAATACTGCGTAGTCCCTACTTTGGAATCGGATAGAATGGCTAGTTAGGGCACTCAGCGTAGGCCCGTCTGAAAGCTGGGGCTCAAGGTCTGCTTTCCAATGCTGGACATCAGGGACAACGAAAGCACCCAGCATCGGACGCTTGATGAGAGCGAAGGATGAAACTCAAGTCGCGTGGGTTGGTGGGCTTCTCGTCTTCATCTTTTAACAAGAAGGACACTCAACGGAATCTTTGCATGAAAATAGCCTAAAGTTTGACTGCTTGGCTTTTTAGCATGGAATTCTAAGTAAACATGGGTGAAATACAACTTGTCAGCACAAAAATACCGCCTGTCATAGTCATTTGGGTATAAAATATGAGCCGCAGGTTTGGACCATATGGTTACATGAGTTCTAATTTACGTGGCATCATCTTAAGTCAGCAGAACTCGTCCTGGCCTGCCTGTGGGAGGTGGAGTCAGCACCTCACCCACTGAAGTGAGAAAGCTCCCTGGGGTTCGGCCAGTTTTGCTGCTGCTATAGACATCAGAGATTTGCAGGGCAACGCCGGACTCTCCCCAAGACAACTGAGCCCTTCCTGGCGGTGGCATGGCTGACCAGGCTGTCCCTGCAATTAGCTCTCCACATCGGACATGTGAAATTGAAAAATATTAAACCTCACAGCTTGTGACTTCTCCGTTCCTTCTGTTCCCACTGGGGGGAAAGTAACACAATCTTCTCCCCCAGATGGGGCAGGGAGAGCGGACGTTTGGACGCCATTTCAGAGCAATGTTTAATGAAGTGAGAAAATGCATTCGTAGCGTTGGGCTCCACGGCACATGTACGCAAGCCCAGAAGTGCACAATGGATGTATTTTGTGATCTAGACATGAGCCACAGATGCCAAAGAAATGCCGTCGAAAGAAAAATCAGACTTGAGAGTCCAAGCTGAGCCAGAAACAGATGTAATTTTTGTTACTTAAAAAAGAAATTCTTCAGTGCCCTCCTCTCTGTTCCCCCAAGCTGTGTCCTGTCACTGTCTTAGATGACCTTTCAACAGTATCTGCCTCGGACACTTTTAGCAAGCGGGTTGGGGCATGTGACCCTTGACTCTCCTGCACATTCTTTGGGGAGCCCGAGGGCTCTCCAGCTGCCCGCTGGGTGGTCTCTTCAGTCGGGGTTACTGATGTCTGAGCCTGATAAGCCAGCAGACCAGGGACCCTAGATTATCCTTTGCGGGTGAAGCATGAAACACAGCTCACCTTGAGGGCCCAGCCGGGAACAGCTGCTCACAGTGGGAGGCTGAGAGCAGTTGGCTTGTTTTTTGGGCAGGTGTGGAGGATATTCTTGCTTTTGAGAATTTTTTTCCCATGCCCTGTTGTCCTTAGTCAACAATGAATTTCTTCTA